GAGCACTGTGAGGCCAGTGCCCAATGACTTCCGGAGTGTCAAAGCTGGAATCAGAATCTGGGCTTCCTGCATGTTAACATAATCTTCACCAAACCATGGGTGCATAAACCATATACAAAAAAGCCACAGAGACTCTTTTTACATAATTTATATACTGTGGAACTCAAGACGCTCACAGAGCAAAGTTACATGTTGCAGCGCTTGCCCTGATCTTTATGAGTTTGTGATAACTTGGCCCTGGGTACCTCATCGGCCAGACCCTTTTCATGAGTTTGATGAGGGAAGAGATTGCCCATTGCCTCTCCTTCTCTCCTTCCTGATAAACATGGTGGACTCCCCTACCTAGGGCTGGCTTAAGACCAGTATGGCTGAGCAACAGTCCATGGTGCTAAGCTATAGGGCCACCAAAGAATGGGGGACACTTAGCAGGACGGAGAAAACGGTCCTTATCAGAACGCCTCTCAGAGTATGTTATGTTGGAAGGAATGGTTTTATGAAATCACTTGAAACCCCCACCTGACTTCTCCTTTCCCTTCTCATCAAAGAAAAAATGTAAGTCACAAAGAAGGGTGTTAAACTACCTACTTAATCTAAAGAAGGATGCCGTGATTGTGGCAAGTGGGTGGGTTTGAGGTAACAACTTTGGAGCCAAAGCTGAATGACTAGTGACAGTAGAGGAGAAATTAAAGCATAGCCACCAGGGAGCCTCCCTCTGCCTTCCCATCATAGAACTCACCCAGTTGGACAACATTTTAAAGAACTACCCTTTAAAGGGTACCAAATCACTCATTCTTCCAGGGTGGCTTGGGCTGACCTTGCCATCACAGAAAGAGAATCTGTCTAAACCAATGCCAGATGGTTGAGTTCAGCTCACTCTTGAAGCAGAGGAAAAACAGATTATGCCTTCATGGCTTGGGGAGTTCCTTTATGGCCAACTGATGGAAAATATTATGAAAAATGTCTAACAGTTCTTACAAAATATATAAAAGGAAAAAAAACCTGTAGCCCACATTTTTGGCCAAAATTTTGGCTATAATGTTTTAATGTTTGCTGACAGTCAAGTTCAGCTTTGTATAATTCTTTTTTTTTTTTTTTTTGAGATGGAGTCTCACTGTTGCCAGGCTGGAGTACACGGCTTGATCTCGGCTCGCTGCAACCTCCGACTCACTGGTTCAAGCGGTTCTCCTTCCTCAGCCTCCCAAGTAGCTGGGATTGCAGGCACGCACCATTACACCTGGCTAATGTTTGTATTTTTAGTAGAGATGGGGTTTCACCATGTTGGCCAGGATGGTCTTGATCTCCTGACCTTGTGATCTGCCTGCCTCGGCCTCCCAAAGTGCTGAGATTACAGGCAAACTTTGTGTAATTCTTATAGGAGAAAGAATCAACTGCCTAGCCCCAGAATGAAAAAAGTTTAGACCACAATGCTGCCACTGAATTATTCCTATAATGTTGCACGTTATTATTATTATTATTTTATTTATTTATTTTTTTTTGAGACAGAGTTTCGTTCTTGTTACCCAGGCTGGAGTGCAATGGCACCATCTTGGTTCACCACAACCTCCACCCCCTGGGTTCAAGCAATTCTCTTGCCTCAGCCTCCCGAGTAGCTGGGACTACAGGCGCACACCACCATGCCCAGCTAATTTTTTGTATTTTTAGTAGAGACGGGGTTTCACCATGTTGACCAGGATGGTCTCGATCTCTTGACCTCGTGATCCACCCACCTCAGCCTCCCAAAGTGCTGGGATTATAGGTGAGCCACCGCGCCCGGCCACATGTTATTTTTCATCCTCCCTAAGGCTCACTTTCCTCATCTGTAGAATGGGATGACAAAGTTACCTGTTGTGAATTTAAATGACATAGTGTTTTAAAAATATTGTTGCAGTGCCTGGCACACAAGTGCTCAATATATATTATTGAATTAATTGATAATGAGTGAATTAATAGATATTAGGTCATGTTAGTAATAATCTTGTATATATAGGAACCCTAAGGAGGATGGTAAGTCCTACTATGAGGGCAGCTGTTTGGCCATGAGAGTCCTGTATTTGTGTTAAATTTTATCAATAACTAAATTAAAATTTTTCACACAAGATATATTTTTTCAAGGAAGAAAAAAACCAGAAAGAGCTAATGAAAACATGCTCAAGATTCCTAACATAATGAAACATGATATGAAACACATACCATGTTTGAAATGCACATTGAGTTTATGAACTGAAATTTCACAAAATCCCACTGGGACTATCCCTGGAGGAAAATTAACCTTTAATTATTAAACTTTTTGTGGATGCCACTGGCATCTTCTAAGAAAATATCAATTCCTTCAAAACACACAAAGATGTGTTGATATAATGCCAAACTCATATATACACATACACACAGAGGCAAACACACAAATACATATATAATTCCACGTTGCATTGATAACGTTAAATTTTTTGTGAAAATTATTTTACATGTCATGGTAAATTATGCATAGCAGTTACTGTGTTTAGACAGTTTAGAAGTATAGAAGTAGAAGGAACAGATAGGAAATAATCAGACTAAGCCGGCTGACGTATCTATCATGGAAACAAAAAAATGTACAGTAGGAAGTGGCTGTCTTTATATTTCAAACTAACATTGTGCTTTGATGAGCTACAGGGTGCATTTGTTTCAGCAGTTGTTAGAAAGCAGACCCCGCGTGCTAGACTGGAAAAAACATTGGACGAGAACTGGGAAATCAGCCACGTGACCTTGTTAAGCTAGGGACATTTGTTTTCTATAGCCTCAGTTTTCTCATCTGTAAAATGGCCATAAAAAGCCCAGTCCTGCTTATTTCATGAAGATGATGTGATCAACTCCCTCACTTTGCACATGAGAAAACTCTCTTGAAGTCATATAGCTAATTGATGACGCTATCATGACTCGACATAAAAGTCTTTTGAAGACTTGGACTTTCTGTAGGAACAAAGCTGCCATTGAAGCAACAGACAGGAAAGTGCTTTGAAAAATGTCACGAGGATTTCGTTCAGTAGAAGTATTATGGACTATATCTGCCAAAGTCCTTTTGTGGCAATTAATTAGCAAATGCCATTTGAGACTGTACCTGGAACTTTAGCAATAACCATCTTTCTTTTAAAATCAAAAACACTCTGTTTCATTTCTCAACAATGACACAAGAAGTAAACAATTAACTGACTTAATTCAAACACTGAAGTGGAGTTTCAAGGACTTCACTCACCCAAGCTAGTTTTCTACAAAGCCTAAATTAATCAGATAATTACTAATTCTCCCCTTTGTTTTGTGCTGAGAGTTGGCATTTGTTAAAATGATCCTAGTGGCAGAATAAACAGTCATTAAAAATTTTTTTTAATCCCAAATCTGAACTAAATGAGCACGTTTCAAACACACTATTTCTTTAGGTATTGTCTCCAGCCATTGTTTTAAAAGGTTCATTTTCTTTATCTGAATGTGAACATTAATACCACTTTTGTGATTAAAAGGAAGATTTTAAGCAAACAAAGTTTAAAAAATCAAACTAAACCAATATTTCAGGATGTTGTGAACATGATTCAATGTGTCGTTAAGAAAAAAAAAAAAAGTAAATACCTCTCCTGGCATAACTAAAAGCAACAGTTAAGTCTTTAAGATTAAATTCTTACTGACACACTTTAAAAATATAGTCAGTTTAGCATGGCTTTAAATAACCTCCACTTAACAACCAGCAAAATTTTAAAATTAAGTAAACAATGCTAATTACCTTCCTAATATCAAGAGGAAAGTGTAGAAAGTAATTTAATTAATTGGCTCTGAAAAATTAATTACATATGAAATGAGACTCATTAGAGCTTTCGTGTTTCATCAGAATTTCAGACTAAAGGATAACTGGTCTTATCACTTATGGTTTCTTTGTGGTTCAGCTAGCATAAAATAGACTTGTGATAATAATTAAATATTTTGCCCAAATAAATTTAGAACTAGAACGTTAAAACAAACCTGTGTGAACAAAGTAACAGTGTTACTTTTCCACTGTATTTAGTTCTTATATTTCACTGTAAAGATATTACTCTGTGTGTGTGTGTGTGTGTGTGTGTGTGTATCATGAACTGACAAAGAAATAACAATTAACTTTCAAATTCAGTACAGCAGTATAATTTGGTTTTGTCATGTGGGGCATTAGCTAAAGTGAAAATGTGACTAAAACACTTTATGTAACATAATAACTGTTGATTACTCAGATAGTTTTCATAAACAGTTGGCAAATTGTAACTTACAACAGCTGTCACTATAAATTTAAAGTAAATGTTAATTTAGAAATATTAACCTTGTGAATGTTTCTGTAAATAAGGCTTATGCTATTTCCAAAGTTATAGAAAATCACTAGAGTATTTTTAGCCAAACTTAGTGCAACTTTAACCTCACTGTTTTTAAATTCTTCAGTTTTACACATAAAAGGCTTTAATCATACTTTAATGGTTTTTCAGTGATTCCCTTGAGTGTACAAACTGCATAAGGAAATGTATTTGATAGATTTACGTCTTGGAAGTGAGAGAATAAATAAACTAAAGAAACAGTATTGCCAGAGATACATTTTACTCTTTTATATAAGAAAATAAAGAAAGCATTTGCAACCAGCAAAGTTCCAGGGACTGTTTACTAAATAACCTGTAAATACTTAGCCACTGTAGCTCACAGATCTCAGGGGCTGAAGTACCCGTTGTGTGCTAAAGTTACCACTGTTCTGTTTTGTGCTGTTTGTAAAACTCATTCCCAAGGAAAATTTGCATGACAGATTGCAAACCCTCTTGTATAAACTACTAAAACTTGCATCAAATTCCATAGTTACTCTGATCCACACCTTCCGCATAATGTAGTATTCAGCTGTATAAATGCTTTCTACAAAACTAATTAAAACCATTCTTTTCTCAGAATACATGCAAAAAATGCAGTGAAAGCTACCACAAAACTTAAAACGAGTATCGGCAACATGCTGAGCTCTTTACAGTACTCACCCGTTCGGCAACTTAGTTCCTCCTGGCAGCACTTCTGTGCCAAATGCTTCTACCTTCCCAAAAATGTATGTCAGCACAAGCCCAGACGAAAGTTCAAATCCAGGAAAATAAAATTAACCATGCAGATCAAAGGCAGACGAGCTGGGAGATGAAATGCCTGTAATCTGATCAGTGATCAGTTGCTGAACATCAAAGGCAGGGCTGAGTTTAAATATATGCACGGATATCAAGAAAGTTCACTTTCAGCAGGTAGTCACCCTCCCGTCTCCTAGTCCACACTTTCTTTTGTTAAACCTGGATCACGTTGTTTTCCTCCCCTTTTTTGCAATGAAGCAATGCTGGTAGTTCTCCCATGCTTGGGCTGAGTGGCTGGATCTGTAGCTTTTTTGGTTCCCAAGCTGTGTTGTGGACTGCGTGTTGGAAGCTTTTCCTAGTGCCAGCGGGTCCTGCTTTATCCCTTTCATCTCGCTGAGCTGCAGATCCCATGACATCATTCAGTGCCGTGGGACTGGTAGGAGAGCTATAATTCAGCCTGTGGGGGAGTTTAGCTCAAGAGAAGCCAGAGTTGGGCTGATTTCTAATCACGTTAGACTATTGTGCCTCACACAGGACAGTTTCTGTTATCTGTCTCCCAGCTGGAAAGGACAGCAACTGCTGCTGAATGCTTCTTGGGTGATAAGATCCCTGATGGATGGTCTCGCCAAATGACAGCATTTAATTGCCTCTTCGCTGATAAAAATCACAATTTCCTACAGAGACTGAATGTCAAATATTCAGCATAAATAGCACTGTGAGACCACTCTAAAACACAGCCAATGACACTAGCAGATGGACTGGATAACATTTTCACATTTTGTTTTCCTTAAAGTGACAAGTCTTTAAGGATTTTAGGTAAACTGCCCTTTCTTTGAAACATGCATTATTAGGATGCGATTGCCAATCAAACCGGGGTGTGTTAAGTAGTTAAGCAGCAGATAACCAGCAATTCATGAATAAACTATCTTCCACTGGCTCACTTAAGACTTTGGGCAGAGACTTAATCTCAGTCTTTGCCTTAGTTTGGGACTCTGGAAATTAGATTTTAAAGCAATGTCTACTTCTCAGACATAATTCATTAATGCCTGTTGGGCATTTAAAAATTCACAGAAGAAGAATTATCTAGAACAAAGCATTTGCCCTTGTGATTATTCCAAAGCCAGGTTCTTTGCCTTTTGGGTCTGTTTCTTCAGAACTCATAGTTTGGGCTTTCAACTCATTAAAAATTACCACCTTAGCCTAATTATTTCTATTTTAAAATTAAATATAATGCTCATTATTTAAATTTTTTAACCATTTTCCTTAACAATGTCAGATCAAATATAATATGATGATTTTATTTTTAGTATTTAGTAAAATAGAAGATAAGAAGAAATTTCATCTTCCTCGAAATCCAGGATATGGTGCTTTTGTGATTTTCAGATAGTTCTTTCACGGAATGAAGACAACTTTCCTATTTTGTAATAGTAACTCGCCAACCTTTAGAAGGTAAGTTAAACTTACTTTTGCAAAACTTAGGGGATAGCAGAGCTCAATCTTTTTAAATGTAACTTCCCTCCCTAACTGGTTTTGTCTAATTTTTCCTGATGTGATATTTGAAAATGTTGCTTATGAAGTGTTTATTTCCAGACTTCTATGATTCTTGAATAATTTTAATAGCAAAATATTTGGTTTGAAGAGTTCATGAGTTCAGTATAACATTCAAATTTTCCTCTTGATTTTTCAATGTCTCGTATAATTTTTCTACCTTACACATCATTTCTCAAAAATGCACAGAGCTCAAATAGTATTTGAACTGGCAAGTGTGATGCTTAATGACTTCCTTAAAGCAGACCAGGAAAATTCCTGTGACACCTGGTCTTCACGTTTCCTGGGCTCCTTGAACTCATGAATACAAAGGAAATATTCACAAAGACAAAATATTTACAAGAAGACATGTGCCCATTTCTTTTCTGAGGTAGTCTAACCCCACCACCAACATGGAATCCATATTCCATCAGCCTGCACTCAGGATTAAAGGTTCCCAATGCACTGATATATTAAATCAGAGCAACTAGACACTCTGTAAGGCTCATTGGCTAAGCAAGTAGATTCTGTCTTTATAGAGTTCAACACCAGTAGAAATAGGTGAAAGACTGAATTAGGATTCTTATGTTCTACTGGAAGCATACAGGAAGCACTTGAAAGCAGGGACTTGAAGGAAAACCAGTCAAATGATCTTCAATTTATATACATCTACCCAAGCAAGATTTGTAGTTCAAGATACATCTAGCAGTGCAATACCATCTCCAATGGAGGAGTTTATTCACCAAGTCCCAGAACATTATTTTGAATTGGTCCTCTTGTGGCCAAGAACTCCCAACATGTGAGATGAAAGGGGGATGAGGCTAGGGCCCCATCTGTCGCCTGGACCAGAGTGTGGCTAAAGACCAGCCTGGCTGCAGGAGTGACCTCCTGACCCACAGCTCATTTAACACTGTGCCCAGCCGGCCGAGCCCCCTTCATTATGAGATGAGGCCTGGACCATTGATGTTTCTGAACAGCACCAGGAAGGGGAGCTACTGCAAGGTTAGTGTGATTAAATCAGTGTGATGCTGTGGTGATAAGACCTCCAGTACTCCACTCGACATCACTTCTGTTGTAATGACACCAAGTTACAGCATTTGATCGATGATTCCAGTGCCATGCTGCAGTACACTTGGCCCATCTTAGTCTCTTTGCCACGCTGACTTTCAGCCACCGGCCCTGCAACGTGGCTGTGGCAGCCATCGGATCCACAGAGGGGAGCTCCAGGCTACACTTCAAAAGAAGTGGTCAGCGTCTGAAATGTCGGCCATGTCAGTTACCCTGATTTGATCACTACACCTTATAGATAAAGAATGTCATTAGGGGCCCATGAATATGTATAACTATTATTAACCAGTTAAAAAAATAAAATAAATGATGGAGAACTTCAATTGTTCATATCCAAGAATGGAGGAGCTGCCTGAGAGTCTTGATGGGGGGGTGGGGTCTCATGTCACCCCCAGTTGCCACTGGGTGCTATTTTCTTCCCGACGCTTGGAGCGTGGCTCCTTTGTTTCTCTATCTTGACAGGTGAATGCCACAAATTCTTACCATTGTAAGATATAGGTTCAGGTGATAACACATCTTCTCCCTCAAGTTTCATCGTTTTTAGAGTGGTCTGCATGTCTTTTCTAATGCCATCTTTTCTAACTTTTCTATTCAGAGGCTACATCCTGGATTGTATCAGATGAGTACAGCTCTATTACATACATTGAGAAGAATAATTTCTGCATTTGTTTCATCTCAACACTTTTTAAAAAATGAAATAGCTCATGGTTAGACAAAGAACATAGATGCTGGAGTCGGAAAGGCCTGTGTTCAAATCCCTCTTACCACCTGTACTTTAATAACAGCTTAGGCAGTGTAGATGAAGCCTACTTAGTTCCACTGAGCTTTATCTTCCTGAGCTACTGTAAGAGGATAACACCCACCTCATTAGTGCTGCTGAAATAACAAACTTATTTGGAGACCATCAAGCAGAATAAACCCTCAACAGAAAAGCTAAGGTTCGTTTCTTTTCTCTGTAACTATTAAAGTAAGTATGAAGGAACCATAGGAAGATGCCAGCATTTTAGCTGGGGAATCCAACTCAAACTTCAGTATTTTAAAGGGGCAGGGCAGGCTCTCAAACAGCGTCTGGGCTGGTTTTTCAAAGGCCATGTAGTCCAGACATCCTCAGGTTCTTCACGATGTTGGGACCACTTGTACATGACCTGGGACCAGTAGCCACTATCTGGGACCATTGTCCACATAATCGTAGAAGGACAATGGCTCAAGCCTGTTCTGCATTGGATTGTATCCCCCGAAATTCCCATGTTGGCATCCTGACTTCCAGCACCTCAGATAAACATGAGTTTATCTGGAGGTAGGGTCTGTACAGGGGTAATCAGATTCAGATGTGGGCATTAGGGTGGGCCCCAATCCAGAATGACTGGTGTCCCTATATAAAGTGAGGTTTAGATAAAGAGGCAGACACTCATACAGGAAGAACGTTGTGTGGACATGAAGATGACCATTTACAAGCCAGGGTGAGAGGCTGGGAACGGACTCATCCTTCTCAGCCTCAGAAGGAACCAACCCTGCTGACACCTTGGTCTCTGACTTCCAGCCCCCAGACCTGTGCGATAACACATGGCTGTTGTTGAAGTCTGTGGTACATTGTTATTGCAGCCTCAAGAAAGTAATACAAAGCCACTATTCAACAAACTGCAAGGAGGTACAATTCCCATTTTCCTATGTTTCAAAGCCTTACATTCTCCTCATCAGCGTGCCCTCCAATCTGCCTCCTGAAAAGCACCCACAGCTCCGTGGACACCCCTGCCCTGCTGGACTGCTTCCTCCATCATGGGCAGAAGGCTCCTTCCTTTTCTTAAAGGGCCAGTTCGGGGGTACAGTTCAGTGAAGCTGAGTATGACTGAAAGTCACTAAACGTTAACTGGGAGAGAACCCAGTTTCTGGCTACTGTAAATAAAGCTGCCATGAACACCATGAACCTGAAAGAGCCAATCCTTCTAAGTGGATCCTGAGTGGCTAACTGGGTCTAAACTAAAAATGGAGCCAGGTCACAAATGTAGTTTGCATTCTCTGAGAAACCACAGGTGCTCACATGACTTGGGGACTTTGTGGCTGGTTGTTCCTGTTTATGCTCCCGATTTGATGGCTGTTGGGAAGTCTCGTCTTGACACCTGGATCTAACAAATAAACTTGTGACCTGCATTGACCGATCAGAACCAAAAATGCTTGTATCCCTCATTTGCATAGTGGTCATTTGTATGGCAGACCAGAGTGGGAGTCTGGGCGGGAGCTTTTTCTATAAAGGATAACCTGTCTCTCTGTTCTCAGGGAGAGCATCTTTGTTTTGTAATGAAGGCTGGGTGCAAACTGCTTGTAGGAATAAAGCATTTCTGTTTTTTAAGGAAGATCCTTTTCAGTGGATTTGTTGACAACACTTGTGTACAAATCTTAGTGTGGATATATAGTTTCATTTTTGTTAAGTAAATACCTAGGAGTAGAATATCTGGATTATATGGCAAACGCATGTTTAACTTCAAAAGAAACTGCCAAATTGTTGTCTAGAGTGTTTGTTCCAATTTACATTCCTGTTGCAATACATGAGATTTCCATTTGCTCTATTTCTTTGGCAACAGTTGATATGGTCAATCTTTGTCATTTTAACTATTTAAATGCAATCTAGTAGTAGCTTATGATAGTTTAAATTTGAATTTTTTGATGCTAGCACTCAATGTATATATAGAGACTTTACTTTTTAGAACAGTTTTAGATTGACAGAAAAATTGAGCAGCTACTACAGACATTTCCCATACATTCCATGTGCCCCACTCAGCTTCCTCTATTATTTGCATCTTGCATCACCATGATATATTTGTAATAATTAATGAATCAATATGGGTGCATAATTAACTAAAGTTCACAGTTTACAATGAAATTCATTCTTTGTGCAGAGACTTCTAGGGAATTTTTTTTTTCTTTTTCAGACGGAGTCTCTTTCTGTCTCCTAGGCTGGAGTGTAGTG